ATTTGTATGGCCTACATTTATTTCTCTCGTGAGTTTGGGTGTAATTTGTAGTTTGTAATTTGTAATTTGTAATTTGTAGGTAGCGACACAGGGTTTCCTTAGTTTACGCAATTCAGAAGAACGCAAAACCTGTATTAAATAGGAAATTTAAAAAAAAATAATGATAAAAAAATCGTCGCCTATTTTTTTAATTGCAAATTAGGTTTAAAATAAAAAAGATTTTGAAAAACCACTGCATTAATTAGGGGATTTCACTTGTGTTCCACTAAATTGACGGTAAGTGTATTTATAACTATTATAAATATTACGAGTTTTTGCCTGGTTTACGACACACGTAAACGGTATTAGAAAAGTGAGTAGTTAGATTTCTATATACACTTAGGGACATAAATATGAGTTCCTCTAAATAGAGGAACGCTTAAAATAGCCACATACCAGTTAGTTTAGCTTGAAAAAAAAGAATGACTTCAAACTTCTGATTTCGACAAAACATTTTGGTTTAAGAGGCCAGTGGGTCGTAATATGAACATGTTATCATAAATAAACATTTTCTTCGCGTTCCTCGACATAAATGTGCACAGACTTATATAAAAAATGTGAAAACGACAAACGCTTTTCATTTATAAGAATTTTGAAAGAATGAATGAATGAAATTTTTCTATTGTCACTCTAAATTTTAATAGCGTGTCGGGTAATTCTATAATTCTTGTTCGTGTTTTGTTTTTAAAGTAAGTCGTAATAGTGTATAGATATGTAAGTTGCTTTATTCTTAAAGTAAGTGTACATTAATGATTATTGATTAACTTTAAAAATAAAGCAGCTATACATATTGAGTTCTTAGGTTTTCGCGATTAGGAAATGATACAAATTTTTTTGGATTCGCGTATATTTGTTTTTTTAAACAAACCAACGGTTCGGATCCTTTACAGGTCCCATGATCAAGGCTAACTATAGTTACTTATACAAAATTATATACAACAATTACAAAATCATTATTAACTAGGAATATGGAAACAGTCAATTATCGTTCCTATTTTCAAAAATGGTGATAAGCATAATATTGCTAACTATCGTGGTATCTCGAAACTGTCCATTGTGCCTAAACTCTTTGAGAAAATAATTTACGACACGTTATCTTCTGTAATAAGACCATTGATTACGCCTAGTCAACACGGATTCATTAGTGGCCGATCTACAGAATCTAATCTGTGTGAGTTTTTACATTTTACCCTTGAGGCAATGGAAAAAGGATATCAGGTGGATGCCGTGTATACCGATTTTTCTAAAGCATTCGATAAAATCTCGCATAACTTATTGATAAATAAACTTGAAGAAATCGGTATTCACGGGGATCTCTTGAGATGGTTGACCTCTTATATGCGCGATAGGTCCCAGGCAGTGGCAGTCAAAGGTTATACCTCTAGCTTTATTCCCATAACTTCTGGTGTGCCGCAGGGTTCCCACCTCGGTCCTCTTCTATTCAATGTATTTATCAATGGTATCGTGCATTGTTTTAATAATTCTAAATCTCTTATGTATGCTGACGATACTAAAATATTTACTCTTGTTAGATCTGTAGAACATTGTCACCTGTTTCAAGAACACTTAAATAACTTTTATGAATATTGCTCTGTAAATTTTCTAAAGTTAAATATTGGTAAATGTCACTCAATTACCTTTTCTCGCAAGAAAATACCCATTAGTTATGATTATAAATTTAATAACACCACAATATACAGAGTGACCGAGGTGAGAGACCTGGGTGTATGCCTCGATAGTGAACTGAACTTTGCTTCGCATATTGATCAGGCTGCAGCCAAGGCTTATAAAATGCTGGGTTTTGTTTTTCGACAGTGCAAAGACTTCAAGAATGTCAATACATATATTATATTGTATAACTCCCTGGTCCGAAGTCATTTAGAATATGCTTCGACAGCATGGAACCCTCATTATGCCAAGCATATAGACCAGGTAGAAAGTATTCAGAATAAGTTTTTAAGAAGACTAAGATATAGGTTTAAGGGCTCTATGCCCCAGTTTCAGTCGTTAGAATTAAGACGCGAACACAGAGATCAAGTGTTTCTGTTTAAGATTATAAATGGCATCGTTGATTCTCCTTTCTTAATGAGTCGTATTTCATTCAAATGTCCTAGGGTTAATACTCGCTCCAACACAACATTGTTTTTCGTACCTATTTGCAGTACTAACTACGCTGGGAATAGGTTTCTAATCAGAGCATGTAAATCTTATAATGATCGTTACCACCACATTGATATATTTACCTGTAAACTAAATTGTTTTTGTCAAATGTTAAAAAAGTAGATTTTGGTTGATAAATTAAGTAATTATTTCTTTTCTGCAATAATAGTCTCAATTTTTTAAAACTTGTTTAGAGCTTTGTCATTTGGTTAGTTGTTTACAGAGTTTTGTCATTGTGTAGTAGATTAAGTGCTTTCGGCCTTCACTTTGTGAATTATCTATCATTGGAAACAAAATTTGGCTAAATTTAATATTTAATAGGTAAACAAAACATTTATGTAATATGTAAGCTGTATGTTTCTTTAAATAAATAAATAAATAAATAAACTATTATAGTCATCATCAACCGATTATTACGTCCCACTGCTCTGCATAGGACCCCTAGGTAGCTTTAGGCTATAGTCCGCCCGACTGGCTTTATGGCTGAACTTCCCAAGTCTCTGTGAACCCTCAACATGTATGCGATATTTTCCTCTGCCTAGTAGCTACTAAACATTTACAAATGCACGTAATTTGGAACATGTCGCCATAGGGACTCGAACCGTTGATCTCCCAATTGAGAAGCGGTTGTTTCACAGGTGAATTGAAATTTTAATTAAAATGTAACTATATAATCTCTCAAAATAATTGTCACTATAAAGTTATAAAACATAGATTACCGTTAAAATAATCTCATATCGAAAAAGAAATAGAATGCATTCGAAATATATTTTTAAATTCAAATTTATTCTTTATTTAGAACTGGCGTGTTCTAAATTTCAAACTGACCAATTAAAAAGAATGATTTATTTATAAATAGCTTTGAAAACGTGGCCAGTATTTTTTTTATTAATAGCATTGTGCTTTTATTTTTTTTTAAATTCATAGTTAACTTGCGGTTATTGAGGTTGTGGTATGGTTTACTTATCTGAGATTGTACTTCTGTTTCTTATTCTTTCAATCTTAAATGATTCTGTGAGTGTATTTGTTAGAAGACAGTTTGAACAAATTGAATTAATAATAGTCAATATTATACAGTTTTCCCCCGTAAATGGTCTACAATGAGTACCACAATAATGAAATTAACTGCTGTCTGCTACACAGAACATCCAGGTTATAACCAGAAAATTTGTCTCCCAAATGAGAGATAATTAGTTGTGAAATCAGTGAAACAGTTAAAAAAATTACAGGTTTGATACGAATTGATAATGGTTTTTAATAAAAAAAAAACGAACCGATTTCAAACTTTGCATAAATGTACATACAAACTGAACCTAAAAAGATAACAATCGGTTCCAATTGGACCAATACTGAGATTCCCTCTTTTCAACAAAAAAAAACAATAAAATCGGTTTAAAAATAATCCGGAAGTAAAGTAAAGCCGGACTAATCACGTGACAGACACACATAGTTAATCTGAGTAACATTGTATGTTACTTTTGTTATTTTTAAATGGTTCAATATAATAATTGTAGTATTAGTTTTACTTGATCTTAGTAAATAACTTATCATTGAAGTGAATAAAGTTTTTATCTATAGAATGTAGGTATTTCTATAACTTCAGCAATTTAGGATTCAAATTAACGTTAACAGTCAATACGAACACTATAATAAAGAAATGCCTATAATTATAAAAGTAATATTTATGGGAAACAGACTCAACAAAAAAAAAATTACGTCTGTAGTCTCACGCGAAATTGAATGCTGTCGCAGCCAAAAATTTTGGAATTTAAAAAGCATAATTTGAAAAAAAAGTAAATGAGACCAATACTTATAGGAAATGAAACTATTTTTCTGGATTTAAAGCGCGTACATTTGTTTTTTCAAACAAACCAACGTTTCGGACCTTTTACATGTCCCGTGGTCACGGTTGACTGAGGTGGTACAGTCATCAACCAATTATGTCTAATATTACTGCAAACCACCCCATTTTTCACTATAGTTACAAAGGTTATTGATTAAAAACCTTATTTTTAATTTTACAAAGAAATATTCCAATATACGCTACATTGTTATATAAATGGTTAACAATTAACAATTCGAAAACCTAAGAACTCGAGATCAATACTGACTGACTTAATATCCATTTGTAAAATGTACAGAAAATGAATTAAAAGTTTTGAATTTAGGGCTACTGAGCACATTAATAAAGAGCTCTTAAATGTTATACTATTTCAATACGCATTACATCCTCTATAGAAAAATTAAGGAATGCATAACACGTCTCTGTTTTTGCAGGGATCATATTATCTTGCAGTTAAGTCTGTGTTTAACTGGAAGTGCAAATTATAGTCGCGATTATAAATGGATAATTAAGGAATACATATAAATAAAATTAATCACGTCATTTGCAATAAGATCCATTCAATTCTTTTTTTAATTTTCAAAATGTGTTATGTCTATTTCACACTTTTGAGTTACGACAGTATATGGTTTCATGTGCGGTATTACGTAGTATGAACGTATACGAAACAAAGCTATTACATCGTTTGTCATATCAAATACATATAATTGTGTCGTATCTGACACTACCCAACGTATGGTACATATATATTAGGCACGATATTATTTAGTAACAACTTGCCTAGACCCAGACGTTACAAATATGCATTTTATGAAAGTTAAACGATATCATCTAAAAACTTCTATGACACTCATACACGATCTATAATTTCATACAACGTATATCGATCGGCAACGGTCAATAAATCATAATATAAGTGCGGCAAAAGAAAGCAACCACAGAATAAATTAATATTTACCTGAATTAAACTGTCAACCAAGCATTCCTTTACAGACGTGATAAAATGTTTTCAAATTTTTTAAATGATAAATGCTGCACAGAATTCAGTAACCCTTTACACTTTTCACTAAAAATAAAAAATACATTCAAAAACACGTCACTTTCGAATTTCGGAAAAATCACTAAAAAACAAAATGTACTGTATTTAAAATTCGTTTTTGAGACCGGCTTTGCCTTCTCGATTTGTTTTCGTTATGTCGTGAACGCGCGCGAATGTGAAGAAATGACCTAGAGAACTGACTGATAGGAACGGGTGGACGGTGCGCCGGCGCACCGATGCGAGGTAAGCATTCGAAAACTGGCGGTTTCAAGCGCGACGCAGTCCATTTGATACTTATGCGAAGCATGAAGAACAATGAAACAAAAAATGTTTATAATGTGCTGTGATTAATAATACATTTTAATTATTAACATTCTCGGCATAGGGTTGAATTTAAATCTTAAGTTCCAAGTTTGATGTGCTCTTGACCCCATACGTAAAGATTATGAACCTTCATCCGCTAAACTGTCTCGTTTCCTCCACTAGCATCGACCCTTACACAGATTCCAATATTTTTTTACGTGACCTTTTTAAAAACAATCTCAATCGAGTTACACATAAATTTGTGTCGTTATCGGAACGTAAAGTAATAATAATAATTTAATAATAATAATTCTATAATTTGTATTGATTGTTGCCTTGATTTAAGCGTAGATAGTTACATATATAGCTGGAAAAATTACCAACAAACTACTCCACTTTCACATTTAAATCTGTCATTTTAAAAGTAATTGTAAATTTATCATAAATGTCAATAAAATACTGCTTTTAGAACAAAAATCGACATCAAAGTTATGTTACAACCACGCTATGTTACAAATTGATAGTAATAACAGTGTCTGAGAAAAACAGCCGTGTCATATAGACGCACACTACCTAAAGAGATGGGGTTAGCTACGTTTTAAATTCAGAGCCCTTCTAATTTATTTTTATTTATTTATTTATTTTACATAAGCTAGCAACTATCATTGCAGGACTAACCTAATGCAATAGTGTAACCAAAATCATCACTTGTTCAACATTACTTACAAACAAAAAATATTATAAATATTATATCCAAAAATTCCACTGTATCTACTAAATTTATATTATACCATATTAAATTACAAACTGATATTATATTCCATAACATATTTCAAATAAAGCTGTTTTATTGAACTCACAATATAAAATTGAACCACTGTGAAAGTATTTCTAAAGTCTTTCAACAAAAAATAAACTAAATGTCGAAATTAGCACGGCCGTGCCGGCTGCCTCCTGGCCATACTAATGGACAGAGCATTTCTTACAGCCACGTCGATTTCTTAAACATGTTAAAATATTGCATGTAGTACTCTCTAATTGCGTAGCCAAATACATAAAATATACTTTCAAGAACATGGTTTATAAGTGGTTACTAATTAGAAGGTGTGATTTTTGTTGTCTGAAGCTTATTATTGTCTATTTTAGAGTCTCGCCTCTTCCGTGGCCTAGAAGACGGATTTGGTGTGTTTAAATGGAAGAGGTGGTATTAGTCAGTACCGTATCTAGCAGCACTGTTTTTTATATTATAAGCCGGAACCTGTCATATTTAAAAATATTTAGAAAAATCCTTTACGAATTGGAACTGTAATTTAAATTTTGCAAGGAAAAAAATACCCATCACTTATTTTCACACCCCTGGGATGCAATTGAAACTAAAATATCATTAGCAGTGGCCCATGTGGAACTCGCTGAATTGATTCCGCACTCAAGTAGGCCACTGAAGAAATAAGACGTGTGTAAATGGTGGTTCAGGTATTCTAGTTTAATACACACAACACACAAAGTTCCATTACAAAATACAATCCATGCAGCACTTGCTGGTATGCGCTTCGTGTCCTTACTGCTGCACGGGGAAGACCTCAAAGCGGGTAGCGCAATCAAAAAGGCAATTTCTTATTCAGAGTTTTTGGTAGCTGTAGTGCTTCTTGTGACCAAGTTTCTCCAGGGAAGTACTGCAAGATATGTTTTGTGCTGCCAAGCAGTAATGTGAGAATTTGGCAGCAGCGTTCCGGTTTGGAAGAGTAAGGGTGCTGATGAAATTACGGGCACATGCGACTTATCAACTTATGGTGACGGGCACGGTGTCAGTGCTCCTCAGACCTTTGCGATTTATAGCTCTGAGTGGCACTGCAATTGTCATGGATAGGCGTGTCATTTACCACCAGACGCACGACTTGTTCGTCCCGTAGCTTGGTATTATAAAAAAAAACTTGCCACCTTTATGCCAGGGCACTTCGTATTTTTCTGATTTAAAACTCTAAGTAGCACTACAACTGTAAGTGTTGTTTACCACCAGAAATCACAACTTGTTCGTATCGTCACTTAACTAGTTACGTGTTCTAGATACATACGGTATACTTGACGATTTTGGTAAAAAAATAATATATTTTTTTAAATGGTGCATGAAACATAGCTGCATGTTAGCTACAGTGTGCTTTTAGGTTGTTACTGTGCCAAAATTATTAGGGACATTGCGTGTCTCTTGGACTCAAGACGGCTTAATATTGTAAAAAAAAGGCTTACTTAACTTAAAAATAAAAGCAGCATCGATACAAGAAGAATATTTAGGTAACTAAAAAAAATACGAATAATAGAACTTCAAGTATCAATCTTCCTAACTCAACGTAGAATTAATCAGAGTATTCATGAGGCGGTCCGGACGAGCGCACGAGTTGCAAAGATGAGCGTGCACAGCGCATACTGATTTACTGCTGTTTTACTTGTTTACATACAAGGCTCTTGATCTGTGTTACTTTATCTTTCTTGCTTTTTTTATTTATATGGGAACCGATCTCCATACAGTTCAAGTTACCTGTTATATGGTCGATTACCCGAGCGTTCGTTAACTGTAATGTCAAGTTAAAGCCCGTTGTTAACATTAAGAACTCCTAAATTGGAATTATTCTATTCTATTCTATTTCCTTAATGGCGGCCACTAAGCTTGGGCCGGTGTCAGTTTCGATTAATGTTATCAGTTAATATTGATCAATAGTGGAAAAGTTTCGGTAGCAACAAGGTATTTATTTTTAGATGAATCTCTTCGACGGAATGCTGTTGTGGAGATTATACCTGAGGTAAAAAAATAATCATGGACAAACAACACAGCGTTATATTACTACAGCATATAAAATCACACAAAATATTAATAAAGAGGTCATAAACATAAAGAAGGAGAGACTTAAGGTTAATAGGACGAGGAATGAAGGAAGGAAGGAGGTCATGCAAGTCGGAAATCAATTTAGGACATGTGATCAAGGGTACTTGGAAGTATTGATTTGTTTCATTTTGTAAAATAACTAATGTTGCTATAATTATTAAATACAAAAATGTAACAGTCCTCTACCATGAGATCACAATGACAGTTATCGCTAGCGACTGCTTAAAATATTTTTATACAAAATGTTGTTTCTTTTTGTGACCGCTAGGGGCAGGGTATCGTCACTCGCTCAAAGTTACGCGATAAGTGCCTACCGCTAAGTGTATCGACGTCGGTACAAGGGCTCATACAAATCTTTCATTTATGAGCAATCGGCTCCGCACGATTGCATGGTCTTAGCGCGTGCGCAAGTAAGCTCCTTTTTCCTCGTAGTGAGCGTCAGATTTAATAGGCTATTATAGCGTAGATATTTTCGATTTTGTATGAGAGTGATGTATCTTTTACGTAGTCTGTGCTAGAGACGATGAATAATTTGACATATAAAATTGTGAAGTAATTTACGCGCTCATTACCGACAACTGTAAAGACAACAACCATGTTACCATGTAACTTGCAAATAAAGAATGTAAATATGAACGTGAATGTGGATGTGAATATGAACAAACGACGTCGAAAGCCGAATAACTCAATGCAAAGATCTATAATAAACACATAGAAGAATTTCGTCGACTTGGTAACTCGACCTGTAGCTCGACCTGTAGAAGAACGAGGGGACGGTATTCCCGTAGTCGTGAAACCAACGTTCCGGGTTTTTTACAGGTCTCAAGCGGCTGACTGAGATAGTAAACTAGTTGCCGGAGATCATATCTCAAAATCTCAATCTCGCAAGCCTGCGGAACCGCTGGACTTGCGGATTGCAAACAATCATATTTTTGTAGTAAATGGTTATAATCTATTCATGAATTTGTGAAATGTTGTATGAAATGAAATACATATAGATTTACAAAAAAAAATTAAGCGTATATTCTTCATCGCCTGTTATTGAGGTCACAGATTTCGTAAAATAGGCAAAGTCAAAGAATCATTTGTTCCATAGGTAAAGTAAATGTACTACGCTGACTTCCCTGAGAAGAACGAGCAAGAAACTCTGGGGATTGCTAAAGAGTAATTTGAAAAGTCAAATAAACTTAAATGCTATGGAATACGCTTTGAATTTGAACAATTTGTGTGAAATGTAGTCTTCAATGCGGGATTGGATTTTCTAATTCCAATTTACGCTACATACGATTCGCAGAATATTTTACTTTATTAATTTAACTTTTTTAATACATTAAATTATAATTACTAATTAAAAGCAAAATTTCCATAATAAATTAAAACATATTAACGAGTAAGATTTTTCGTGAGAGGAAATTCTAAATCCTAAATTAAGTGAGATGCGGAAAATTGATTTTACTACGTCTTCATCGTCTCTCGTATCAATGGCATACATTATAATGTTTGCCATCGTGGTGAAAGGTTCGACAATAGGCGTAAGGTAGGTACTTGCCGATTGTTGCCCAAGGTACGTCAGACTTACCTACAGGAAATAAATTTAAAATGCAAACTGATGTCAGGACTATATGATAAAATTTCTATTCTAATACGCTAAGAACTCACGGAGCGTCTTTCAGACACGCCCGCTGTGGTTGCGGGACCGCGGCTCCCGTAGAATGTAGACATCTATGTAAAATTTTGTAGCACATTTCACGACGTGTTTTACGCCTGTGGCGGGGACAGTTACTCGTGGTAGTCACAGCGATCGCGGGGAAGTAGAACCACCCGGGACGCGGTAACCCGCGCGCTGGCGATGGCGGTCGACGCCCGCACATTCTGCGGTCGGTTCTATATCGTAAATAGCCGCGCGACTTGCAATCATCATCCCGCTAAGTGTTTTTCCAAGTGAAACCCTGTATCACGGGTACCATGGATGTTCACGTACACAACCACAAATTACACCCAAAGTCACGGGCGAAATAAATGTAGTCCATACAAATATTTCCCC